AAATATGAGAAATTTTTGTCTCATTTTTGATTCATTATTTACTAGTCTTACTGACTATTAAAAACTTTTAAAGTACTCTTTGTATTATTATTATACATTAAAAATCGTTGTATAATTCTTTTGTTTGATTTACCTATCAAGTACATTATTTACAGTGATTAATTATCATAGGTAAATAATAAAGAGGAATAACTTCTCTTAAAGAGGCGTAAAGATCAATAAAGCCCTCTCCAGCACCAAGAACCCCGACACTTTCTTCTTCAAGGCAAGATATGCTTTTCTCTAAGAAAATTTCTGCAAAATTACTCAACCAAGATAAACGCAATATTGTATCAAAGGCCAGGGAAATATCTTGTATGATATATTTCGATCATTAATGAAAGGGTATTACTGGGGTGTTTAATTAATTGTCATTCTCGATTTACCGTCTAAGAAACAACAGGAGGCTAGGGATACTTTTGATGTACATGTATTTCTCTTCAAAATATCACGAAAAAACATTTCTAAATGGAGGAAAGAGATATTTTGTGAAATAAGGGGAAAAACACAACCAATATGACTTTAGAATCATCATAATTCTCGCCAAAGTTCACTTTTTCAAAACAAATATTATCACCACTAGAATGTGGAATTTTTTTTTTTTTTTACATTTTGTAGGGCTGGTCAATAATACCGATATTCCGGTGTATTGCGGTACGTTGACAAAAAATATTGTATTGCAGTACGTTTTTATAATACCGATATACCGGCAAAATGCTTGACCTCAGAGATATGTTACTCCATTGCATTTTCATGAGAATTATAAGAATGTTACTCTGTTGTTTTTCCAAAATGAGGAATGGCCTTTGTTACTTCTCTTCGTTTTCATAAAAATTAATTGTGCATAACTGTCCAAAGGAATGTTACTCTGTTGTTTATTTCCCACGAGAATTGAATATTGCCCTCTAGAGGAATGTTCTTCAGTAGTTTTACAAAGCTTTCTAATGGCATAATATTCTGTAGTTTTTTAAAAGTTTTTTTTTAAAGAAATTTAACTCCATGGCCATTTCATAAGAATTGTACATAGCCTTCTAGAGGAATGTTGGTTTGTCAAGGAATATTGTACGTAGGAATGTTATTCCATAGTTTTACAAAGCTATAGCCCTCTAGATGAATGTTACTCTGTAGCCATTTCATTAGAGTTTTACATAGATATCTAGAAGAATGTTGCTCTGTAGTTTTTGGCTCATATCAGCGAAGTTGGGGGGCTTATGTAATACCTTTGGTCGGTGTCGTTTTGGGCATCTTTTTTTCTTCTATGCCCTATATTAATCGAGATGCATGGGCGATGGTTTCAGTATGTTTCACTGCACCAGTAAAGGTTTCAGATGGTGCAATTTTAGCTAAAGAATGACCAGGTTAATGTTTTGGAGCAGTTTTTGTTTGTTGTTGTTTGTTGTTTAACGTCCCTCTCGAGAATTTTTCACTCATATGGAGACGCCACCACTTGCGAGCTTCAAATTTTTACCTATACTCGGCACTTAGGGCCAATGAGCAGTGAGGGATCTTTTTCGTGCCAGCACCTATTGCGACACGGGACATCGGTTTATACGGTCTCATCCGAAGGACTGGTCTGCACGTCCCACAGTGGGATTCGAACCCGCGACGTAAGGATCAACTCCTTACTCCGCAACTCTGGAGCAGACGCTCTAACCACTGCACCACGCGGGCGACGAGCAGTTTCTGAAAGGTTAAAGTTTTGGTCTCATTTCCAAGTAAGTACATGTAATTCCTATATTGACCAAACTTGGGTCGATGACACATCTAAGGTAGTTAGAATAATCTAACTGTGTCTATAGACAAGCCCTCACCACAGTTAGTTAAACCGGGTCCGTAGGACAATATCATTTTAACGATAGAACGTTCTCTCTACATCTAAGGATGCATGCTACAAGGCTTGCTTCGGATCCTGGATCTGACCTAAATTTTCCGGTTGAGTGACCAGGTTAACATTTTTGGAGCAGGTTTATTCTAGTTAGAATAATCTAACTGTGTCTCGGGACAAGCCCTCACTAAACCGGGTCCGTAGGACAATATCATTTTAACGATAGAACGTTATCTCTAGCCATTACCAAGAAACTATAAGGCTTATCCGAACCAAACTTGCACGGGTGATGCATCAAGGAATGCACTCGTCAGATGCTGGATTTGACATTGACATTTTCTGGATGAGTGAGTAATTCAAAGTTTTTAGAAAAAGTCCATTCCTAAGTAACTGTGAGCCTATAAGACCAAAATTGCATAAATGTTGCATCTAGGTTGCAAATTAAATTCTTTGTTTAGTTTAGTGTGGGACTTTCCTTGCTTAAAGATACAGTAACATTCGTACGTTGAGGTGAGCTCTGTAATCTTTGATTACATGTTTTCCCCATGATATTGCACATGTGTTTGGCCTTCTAGAGGAATGTGAAAGCATGTCAAGCGGATACTTTTTACTATAATGGCATTAAGGACTGGAATTTTTTTACCAGCTTCTATTAAATGTACTAAAGGAAAGAGTACTTTTAAGAAACAAGTTAAGAGTTTTATCTTACAATATGGCATTTTAGAACATGAAAGTTATATGTTTCAGCATTAACTTATAAAACATATTTTATTATTTTATTGATCCTATATGTTGTCATACTTAAATTAAATTTAACGTGTAAGCAACACAGTGCTAAAATTATAGTGCCAAAAATTGTTATAGTGCTTTAATGATGAAACATTGTATTTTTATCTTATTTAAGGTAGGACCCCATTGGAAATAAGCTCTCCAGCTTTAATGGGTTATCCTGGTATCAACTAGTCACTATTTAAAAATATGGTTTCCTGAATATTTATTTATAAATCTATTTAAAATTTATGGATTCCCAAATATTGTCTTTCAAATGACTATGTATATTTATGTGTATTTATTTTATGTATGATGACATATGATACCAAATAAATGATGATGACTCCTTTAGTTTCTATTCAAGGAATAGCCCCCTAGAGGAATACTACTCGGTAGTTTTCTCCGCGATAATTATATATATATATATATATATATATATATATATATATATATATATATATATATATATATATATATATATATATATATATATATATACCCTTCTAGAGGGATATAACTCTGTAGGTTTTTTTTTGGGGGGGGGGGGTGTCAACGAATATTGTACTAAGCTTCATGGATGAATAATATAGTTTTCAAAGCATTGCTCGATCCGTAGTTATACATGGCTTCAAAGCATTGCTCGATCCGTAGTTATACATGGCTTTCTAGAGATCTAGAAATGTTACTCCGTTGCATTTTCATGAGAACTGTACATAGCCTTCTAGAGGAATGTTACTCTTTAGATTTTTTCCCACAATAATTGTATATGGCCTACCAGAGGAATCATCCTCCGTAGCATTTTTTTCAACGAAAATTGTATATAGATATATAGAGCCCTCTTGAGGAAAAATACTCCGTAGTTTACTCTCTATTGAGAAGTTGATGGCTCGTTTTAATACTCCCCCTCAAGTTGAGGGGGAGTATTAAAACGAGCCATCAACTTCTCAATAGAGAATATCCTTAGTTAAGCTCTACATAGCTTCTAGAGGAATATTACTTTGTAGTTTAGCTCTTTCACAAAAATTGTACATAGCTTCTAGAAGAATATTACTCCATAGATTCTGTACTGGGGTTTATTTACATTATGTGTTATTTAAAACCTTGTGAATCAGACCAGTACAACGCGGGGGGTGGGGTCCCACTTTTTTTTCTGAGTATAGCAGTTTGCCATAGTAAATTTAGATACTGGTCCCCCCTCCCCTTTTTTGGTTGCTGTAAGGTCGAGCACTGGCAAATTCCAAGATTTGGGGAGTTAAGGAGGGGTTTTTTATTTATTTTTTTTTGAGGGAGGGGGGTAAGATTTTTTGGCAGGTCCCCCAACTTTTGAAACCGTTGCTAAAGGCCTGATGGATGAATATTTTAAGAAAGAGACATTGACGAGGTGTTATTTATAATGGAGTTTGATTGGAATGACATTGGTATAAAGAGAAAAATTTGGTAAATCATTATCAATGGAATCACTCAGAAATCACATATGTGTACATTGTACATTTACTGGTTAGGATCAAATGGAGCACACGGCTCAGAGGCATCTTGCCAGTAACACTAAGGTCGCTTGTTCAATCCAGCTACGGCCACTTATTGTTGCGTATTGCGAACTTTATCTGCATTGTCTAGCCTAAGGGACCAAACTCCTGCTCAATAAATTGGGGACTTTGTCGCCCTGTACATGTACGGATCTAGAGGGTGGGTGGGGGTCCGGACCCCCTGGGATTTTCAGTTATTAAATCAATGATATTAATCCGCGCACAATGTATAAATTATTATATCAGAGACAACATGTGTCGAAATGATCCTTTTTCCCACTGCAAAATGGGCGATAAAATGTGCCTTACACATGTTGTCGTACATAAATGCGCAAGACGACAATATGTACAGGACGAAAATATGTACCAGACAACAAAATGTTCAGGACGACAATATGTACAAAACGACGAAATGTACAGGACGACAATATGTACAAAACGACAAAATGTACACGACGACAAAATGTGACGTCATAAGACTTCCTGATTATCGATATAACCTTCATTAGACTCACAGGTCACGGAATTCCAATCTTAAATGAAATTTCATCCTAATTAATACATATATGTAAAAGGTATAAATGTTCATAAAGGTTCTAAGCTTAGACTCCAGTTTTTTGTAATTGAGTACGTAATTTTTTGTACTTTTCCGATTTAGGCAAACTTTGTACTTTCCTTAAGAAATTATATTACCAATGAATAAATTAATCTTTTGGATTTAATAAACTTTTGGTAAAGTTGTGCAAAAACTCTTTGTTTTGGCTTTTAAAACACCAAATACCCCCTCCCCTTTCCACACACACAAACACACAAACAAACAAACAAAAAGAAACAATAAATACTTGTCTTAAACATTTTATTCAATTTCATGACCAAAAACAAGTCTTTAAAAATGGACGGAAATGTTTTACAAACTCCAACATCTTTTAAATATCTAACAATGTAATAATTATCTTTTTATACATGTAGCACAACACTTCAACACGTCAGTATACATTAATTTGTGACAAGACATAGATCTAATATTTCTACTAAATGTAAACATAAAAAAAAATCAAAACGCTTACGCTGAAAGAAATATTCTGTATAATCCTGGTATAAATTAGCAGGATCTAAATGTAAATAAAAAAATATTCAATGAGAATGCAAAGCTTAACAAGGAATTGCTTTGTGTCTCAATAGCTGTGCATTAAACTATGGATATTTTTTCCCTTCATATCCTCACTTAAGTAAATTGAAACAACATAAATAAGACAAACACCCAAAAGAATTGAATTTAAGAAAAAAATTATGAAAAGAAACTTGCACTTAAATGTATTTAAGATAAAACTTGACACACTTTTACACAATGTCAGAAAATGCAGCAACCAATAGTATCTCAACAGTATTTAAAATAAACAGTGTCATAATGCTGAAGTAAAAGATGTATAAACACAGATAAGAAAGATAACATGATATGTCTTGTTTACCCACTGTTACATGTAATATCTTAACTATTCACAGCACCTAGCACATCTGTGAGGAAGAAAATCAAGGTAAATATGTGAGGAAATAAGATCATAAGAAAATATAATGTGTACTTAGATCTATATCTAATAGCATATATATTGTACTAATATTTCATTCATAATTTTTCAGATCTATTTACTGGTACAAACAATATGTATTGTATATTTTCTGTCTATTTACTAGGACAAAGAATTTTCAATGTAAAATATTTAATTTACTCCGATTGTGAATAAACACTGCGTACCATCACAATGTCGAGTATTAAAACTACACAACCAAATTATACCTACCTTAATCAGATCTATTTATACTGCCATAAAAACAGTGCCTCAAGAAAAATACATGCTAAGTGACAAGGATTTATGTTGTTGAAGAACAATACATACTGGTAAGTAAAGAAAAAATTAAATAAAAGTGGAATTCTTAACTTTTTTTGTAACAGCTATAAAGAGGATCTGACTCAAACATACCACACTCTCTTGCACATAAATAACATTTTCTCATCCATACAAATTAGTAAACATTCAGGCCAAACAGGCAGTGACCAAAGCATTCTAAATATAATACCAATCACTAACCTATCTCAACTATAAACCCTGAAATGTTAATGCTATTCCACACTTATACAGACCTCATGTGCTCCTAGCATCACATACACGCATCATTATACTCTTATACATGTATCTTGGTCCCTCTAGCACAGTTTGAATTTACAATAAATTGCCAAACAATGCTTAATGTTCTATAACTCAACAAATCTGAGGTTGATCAGGATTTGGCTATACTTCGGAGCATTTTGTCGATTTTCTGGTCGTTTCGGATGATATTGGATTTTACAGCAGCAATGAGATCCAGCTGATCCTTAATAGCCTGATCTACTTCTGTAAGTTGGGCCCTTAGAGGTTCTATAGCTTTATCTGTGATACTGTAAGGGGAAAAAATTAAATCAGTTTATATTGCACTAATATGATCTTTATCAGGATCGACCTTTTTTCAATGCAATTGAGATTTTATTTCTACGTGTATAAACATTCTTTACAGATACAAATATATAACAACGAAGGAATCAGATTTCAAAAAAAAAAATATTAAGGTGTGAAATAACTTCATTTCTGCTTCCTACAACAAAAACAATTAAACTAGGTGGTATCTCTATAAGTGTAACAAATCCAGTACCTTCTCTAAGAGATATCTCTATCACTGAAACACAAAGAGTACCTCCTTTAGACGGTATCTTTATCACTGTAAAACAATCTAAAATTATCTCCTTACAAGATCTTTCTACCACTGTTAACCTGACAGCACCTCTATTACAGAGGTGTTAACTCCATCCTGCAGTGTTAGTAATGTAAATGGTTTCTGTCCATAATTTTAGCTTCTCATCAGTAATTTTTGTGATGGTTATACCTTGGCTTAATTTTCTAATGTATATTTGATAACTTTTAGATATATATAAATATATATATAAATTGTTACTTATTATCTGTTTTGTCAGCTTGAATCATATACAAGTGAATCTATATCATTTCTAAAGCATTAATATGAGATATGAAAAATTAAAAATTGAGCAAAGCCCCAAAACAAATTTTTGGCCGTATCTCGAAATCAAAATCTGGGATGAATAAAGAATTAACAGTACACAACTCTGCCTTTCTTTTGATATCTCTTTTGCTGTAAACATGACAGTACCTCTGTAAGGAGATATCTTTACTACTGAAAACCTGAGAGTTCCTCCTCAAAGAGTTATCTCTATCACTGTAACACAGAAAGTACCTCCTCATAAGAAGACAGCTTTATCATTGAAATCCTGACATTACCTCCCTTATGAGATATCACATGATAGTACTTCTTTTAGGACGTATCTCTACCACTGTTAACCAACAGTGCCTCTATAAAATGATATCTCTTTTAATGTAAACCTCCCTTATAAGATATCTCTACCACTGTAACCTCAAGGAGATGTATCTACATCTGTAAACAGACAGTGCCTCCTCAATGAGATACAGGATGAGCTTTGAATATTTCTCCATTACAAGACATGACAAGAGGTCCAGGTTCCACATGGCTCACCCGAGTCACTATGGCCCCTGCTGTACTTTATCAGCAGATTATTCCTAGGTAAAACTTTGACCCCTATTATGACCACACCCTACCGCCAGGGATCATGTATCTCTACCACTTTAACCATGGGAGTATCTCCTCTTGGAGATATCTGAATCACTAATCCTGACAGAACTTACTCAAGGAGATATCCTGTTAACATGACAGTGCCTCCTCTAGGAGATATCTCTACAATGTAACACAGAGAGTACTTACTTTACAAGATATCTCTACAATTATTACAAAGACAGTTTCTCCTGTAGGAAATTTATCTATTTCTGTACCAGTACCTCCTTTTGGAGATATCTCTACCATTGTAAAACAGAAAGTACCTATTCAAGGAGATATCCCTTCTACTGTAAGACAGACAGTGTCTCCTTTAGAGATATCTCTTCTATCGTAACCCTGACAGTATATACTCTATGCAATATCTCTACCACTTTAGTAATAGGGACAATACCATCTTTCACAGATAGATCTGCCATTGTACAGTACCTCTTCTAGGACACATTACTACCACTGTAAACCTGACAGTACCTCCTCTAGGAGATATTTTTACTACTGTGACATAGACAATACACCTGTCAGAGATATCTCTACCAAATTAATGTAAGAGTACCTTTCCTAGGACATATCACTACCATTGTACACCTGACAGTACCTCCTCAATGAGATATCTCTACAACTTTAAACTTTAACTATGAGAGTACCTCCTTTCTCTCTTCAGCTCCATTGAATGCTCTTTGTTCTCTTGTTTCCATCTCTGCAACTCTTTCTGCATAGAGTCCAGATCTTCCTGTACATAATCCATCACTTTACCCAGGGGGTTAGCACTGCGAGTCAGGGTCTGGATGCTGACTCGTAACTTGTCAATTTCCTTCTGCACCTGTTGTCGTTGTTTCATTCGCTGGGCATCAGTGATCTTTGGTCTTTCCTGAAATTAAATGATGAAGTCTACGATGTACATGGTAATTTTAATAAATCTTCTTTGGGAATTTCTGTGGAGCTTAAATCCAATTAGCTATAATTCTACATTTATGTATAAATAAAAAATACCTGGTACAAAAAACTTTGAAATTTCATTTGCTAATATAAATTATTTCATTTAATTAATATTCATTAATGAATACAGTTATGTAACTCTGCTGAAGATGGAGACAAAGCAATATAAATTTTTCTGGGCATCAATTTTTTGTAGTACACAAACATGAGAACTGCCAAACAATTAAAAAAAACTCACAATTTCTGTTTTTTTGACTTGACTTCCGGACTCCAATTCTTTCTTTGTTTCTAACATTTTCTTGACAAGTCCTCCATGATCCTCGTCCTCATCCTCCTCCTGTTGTGGGGGAGGGGCCTGTAAATTACACTTCATGTTCTAACTCTTTACATTCACAAGCTGACAAACAGTTCACATAATTAATATTCTTCATACAGTTTCTGTCAGGCTTCCGTTAATTATCTGCTCTGCTGGGACCTCACCTGTTCCTGCTCCTGAGGAGCTGCTGTCTCCTCCACCATAAAAGTCTCATCCTCGTCCTCATCAGAGTCCCGTCCTCCATCCACAATCACATTGCTAGGCTTACCACTGCCCAGTCTACACAGAAACAAACACTGTTACTCTCTAGTACCTAATTTTATCTTAGTTCAACATGATTTTGATGGTAAAGAAAAAGACAGGGAGGAATTTAGTCAAAATGCTTGCTTTTGCTCTATCTTTTTTTAAAAAAGAAGACTATCTTGCTAATATGCATGTAAATGTACAATAGAAATTCATTTAAGTCTGTAAGAACCTGAGTACCTCATTGCTGGTTCATTTTCCATGACTTCTTGTTTCCTCCTTGGTGGAGCTGGGCGAGCACTACTTGGACGAGCCAGGGATCTTCTACAAAAATAAATACCCCAGACATTCACACGTATCTTAAGAATGATGTTGCTTTCATAATCAAAAGTAAATCTATTTCCTAGACAACAAAGCAAAGTGGTAAATTATTTTAAAATATGTATAAAATTGCACATTAAACAAAATCAGGGAAAAGGGGGGGGGGGGGGGAGGGGGGGTCTGAATTTTGAGACAAGTTGATTTGAGAATCCATCCTTACTTTAAATACTAACTTCAGAAATGTATAAGAATTGATTCAAAGAATACATATAAGCTTAGAATAATGCTTATTTGCATGGCTAAGTGATAGCATGTCAGGGCTACTTATATCTGATGACACAAATTTGTCCTTTTCTTTATGTGCAACTCTTTCACCCACTTTCTTTAATAGGTAGTACACACATGTAAGTGTTTTATGCCCCTTTCATCTTTTTTGCTTCCAGTGAGTTTTTTGCCAAATACTGTATCAAAATGTCATATTTTCATGATTTTTTTGTTGGGCCTTACTCATCTAAGTAGGTCAAACATTGTTTCAAATTCCAGGCTCTAAAAATTGGTTTGACTGAACAAGAAGGAAAATTCTTATGACATTTCAGATGACTTAAGGTCGGTGACAACTTAGGGAATTTACATTATATTTCCTTACTTTAGTAAATTAGAGTGTTACAGTGTCTTAGCTTACGAGGCAGAGACTTGGGGAGGTAGATTATCATTTCTACACAATTGTAACATTGTAGTATCTTAAGAGGCAGAGACTTGGGGGTAGATTATCAATCTACACTGTTGTAACATTAAATATCTTATGAGGCAGAGACTTGGGGAGGTGGATTATCATTTCCTCACTACTGTAACATTACAGTATCTTATGAGGCAGAGACTTGAGGAGGTGGATTATCATTTCCTCACTACTGTTACATTACAGTATCTTATGAGGCAGAGACTTGGGGAGGTGGATTATCATTTCCTCACTATTGTAACATTACAGTATCTTATGAGGCAGAGACTTGGGAAGATAGATTATTGTAACATTACAGTATCTTATGAGGCAGAGACTTGGGGAGATAGATTATTGTAACATTACAGTATCTTATGAGGCAGAGACTTGGGGAGGTAGATTATCATTTCCTAACTATTGTAACATTACAGTATCTTATGAGGTAGAGACTTGGGGAGGTAGATTATCATCTCCTCACTATTGTAACATTACAGTGTCTTACGAGGCAGAGACTTGAGGAGGTAGATTATCATCTCCTCACTATTGTAACACTACAGTATCTTACGAGGCAGAGACTTGGGGAGGTAGATTATCATCTCCAGCTTCTGAGGCCTGCATTGTCTTTGGAGGTTCATCTTCTGTAAAAGAATACAACTAATATAATAATGCCCCAATTTCCTTGTGAAATTAAACAATAAGATATACTATCTTATTATATAGCTAATAAATAGTGTAAGAAATTATTAATTAATAATTTAGTACCCATTAGCTTCAATAAAAACACGAATAAGCAAATCATAATGCTTGGTAGGGTATTTGGAATGATGTTATATTGAACGCTTACAGGACAGATGCTGGTATTGCACAGCTTTAATCAAATACCGATAATGAAAAATTCTCATTAATTACGAGTTAATTGAAACAATTAATATAGATCAATGGGAGAAGTTTTAGCTATATAATACACAAAGGGGTAATTGAACTCATATTGGTGAATACCGGTGTAGCATAATATTTTGTAACCGCGATATATTGAACCCGGGTGCAATATATCGCATAATATTTTGAACCCGGGTTCATATTTTCGCTGCGATATAATGAACCCCCTTATAAAATATTGAACCCGGTGGGTTCAAGATATTATGACCATAAAATATTGAGTCCCCCTACCCTTTTAATTTAAGAGGGAGGGGGTTCAAGATATTATGACTATAAAATATTGTCCCCTACCCTTTTAATTTAAGAGGAAGGGGGGTTCAAGATATTATGACCATAAAATATTGAGTCCCCCTATCCTTTAAATTTAATAGGGAGGGGGTTCAAGATATTATGATCATAAAATATTGAGTCCCCCTACCCTTTTAATTTAAGAGGAAGAGGGGTTCAAGATATTATGACCATAAAATATTGAGTCCCCCTACACTTTTAATTTAAGAGGGAGGGGGTTCAAGATATTATGACCATAAAATATTGAGTCCTTCTACACTTTTAATCAAAGAGAGAGGGGGGTTCAAGATATTATGACCATAAAATATTGAGTCCTCCTACACTTTTAATCTAAGAGGGAGGGAGGTTCAAGATATTATGACCATTAAATATTGAGTCCCCTTCCCTTTTAATTTAAGAGGAAAGGGGGTTCAAGATATTATGACCATAAAATATTGAGTCCCCCTATCCTTTAAATTTAAAAGGGAGGGGGTTCAAGATATTATGATCATAAAATATTGAGTCCCTCTACACTTTTAATCAAAGAGAGAGGGGGGTTCAAGATATTATGACCATAAAATATTGAGTCCCCTTCCCTTTTAATTTAAGAGGAAGGGGGGTTCAAGATATTATGACCATAAAATATTGAGTCCCCCTATCCTTTAGATTTAAAAGGGAGGGGGGTTCAAGATATTACGAACATAGAATATTGAGTCCTCCTACACTTTTAATCTAAGAGGGAGGGAGGTTCAAGATATTATGACCATTAAATATTGAGTCCCCTACCCTTTTAATTTAAGAGGAAAGGGGGTTCAAGATATTATGACCATAAAATATTGAGTCCCCCTATCCTTTAAATCTAAAAGGGAGGGGGGTTCAAGATATTATGACCATAAAATATTGAGTCCCCCTACCCTTTTAATTTAAGAGGGAGGGAGTTCAAGATATTATGGCCATAAAATATTGAGTCCCCCTACCCTTTTCATTTAAGAGGAAGAGGGGTTCAAGATATTATGACCAAAAAATATTGAGTCCCCCTACACTTTTAATCAAAGAGAGAGGGGGGTTCAAGATATTATGACCATAAAATATTGAGTCCCCCTATCCTTTAGATTTAAAAGGGAGGGGGGTTCAAGATATTACGAACATAGAATATTGAGTCCTCCTACACTTTTAATCTAAGAGGGAGGGAGGTTCAAGATATTATGACCATTAAATATTGAGTCCCCTTCCCTTTTAATTTAAGAGGAAAGGGGGTTCAAGATATTATGAACATAAAATATTGAGTCCCCCTATCCTTTAAATTTAAAAGGGAGGGGGGTTCAAGATATTATGATCATAAAATATTGAGTCCCTCTACACTTTTAATCAAAGAGAGAGGGGGGTTCAAGATATTATGACCATAAAATATTGAGTCCCCTTCCCTTTTAATTTAAGAGGAAGGGGGGTTCAAGATATTATGACCATAAAATATTGAGTCCCCCTATCCTTTAGATTTAAAAGGGAGGGGGGTTCAAGATATTACGAACATAGAATATTGAGTCCCCCTATCCTTTTAATTAATGAGGGAGGGGGTTCAAGATATTATGAACATAAAATATTGAGTCCCCCTATCCTTTTAATTAATGAGGGAGGGGGTTCAAGATATTATGACCATAAAATATTGAGTCCCCTACACTTTTAATTTAAGAGGGAGTGGGGTTCGAGATATTATGACCATAAAATATTGATTCCCCTACCTTTTTAAATTTAAAGGGGGAGGGGGGTCAAGATATTAATGTGGCAAAATATTAACCCCCACAATTTTTATTTTATTTGGGGAGAACAAGTGGTGTCCCCATGTACCGTATATTCTTGCCTATAAGTCAGTTTTTTGGGATTGGTATTTTAGAGGGTCAATCCCTCTAATATAAGCTTAAAAAATGCAAAGGAATTATAGGCGGACAGACTTATAGGTGAGTATATACGGTAGTCTTCTTCAGTTGAAAAGGGGGTTCAATATATTATGACCATAAAATATTGATTCCCCAAAAATTTTGATTTATGAGGGGGATTCAAAATATTAAAGTTGCAAAGTACTGTCCCCCATTACAATTTAGTGGTTAGGAAAGGGAATTTTAAAGTATTATGGTATTATGCTTGTTTAGAAAGGGAGGGGGTTCAAGATATCATGACCATAAAATATTGATGGCCCTCTGGATTTTTGTCATTTGGGGTTCAGCAGAATAGTGTTTGTGAAATATTCAACCCCGTAAGAGTTCTCAAAATCTGGGAATAAAATAATATGGCTGTTAAAAACAACCTCACCCTAAAGGTTAATTGTGGGGTTGGGGTATATCGATTGAACAGTAAAGATATCATAAAATATTGAGGACCCTATTGTATGTGTGTGTGTGTGTTTTTTTTTCATGGGGAGTGTAATAATTTCAAGGCATTATGATTGCAAAATTATTGAATTTCTGTTACACTTTTGAGGAGTTGGGTTTTAAATATCATGGCTGTAAAATATTGACCCCACTTAAAGGTTCATGGAAACTGTTTTCAAGATACAATGGCTTTAAAATATTGACCTTCCCTCTTACATTTTAATTTTTCAATAGGTGGGTGGGGGTTCAAGATTTTATCGTTGCAGAATTCTGACACTCCTCCCCTTTTTTTACTTCAGTGGTCAATAAGAGGGATTCAAATTAATATGGCTGGTAAATATTGTTCCCCAATTAGACTTCCTTAGGTACTCATTTCTGTTTAATGTTGCTCTCTCCCTTCATATAACACCAAATATTCCATGTAAGCTAAACACCCCTCAAACTGGGCTACCCAATTTTTTACACTCTCTAAACACTGTATTGAATAATATAGAAACCATCAAGGGGAAACAATAGACAGTTGGTATTGTTCACCTCCAATGACACCTCCATGTGTACACACAATACACAGGTACTACATCCCTGTTACCTCCTCAGTGGAGAGATACTACATTGCTCCTTGAAATTTCTTTTTTCAAATTGTAAATTATACAAAAAAAAAAAATAAATAAAAAAAATTAAATATGTTATGGGATGAAAGACAGAGAAATAAATATTTCATAATTGTTTTTCCATTAGTTATTTGATGTAGAAAATTTGGGGTTTGATGGTAAAAGACAATTATTTTTAATTTCCTGATGGCAATTTCAGACTTCAATATTTTGATTATATTATTTTACTCTCACTTCTTTAGGTATTGCACAGATATAAAAAAAAAATACAATTTTAATATAAAGATACCCATTAACCCTTGAGATCTAACAATTAAATCAAAGTAAGTGTGTGTGAGACGGGTGTTAGATACTTTCACTTCCTTTTCCATAGTAGCCTTTAAATGGAGGTTCAATACTTCTCAGCCATAATATTTTCTATCCTTTATAAAATGTTGTGGGGTTGAACATTTCACTGCCATATCTTTAACCCCCTCTTACCATTCAAAAATTATTTTTAGGTCAATAATTTTTAAACAACCTCCTAAACACATCTATGTCTAATAGGGGGTACAACATTTTACAGCCATAAATCCTATCTTAAACCTCCACCCCACCCTATCAAAAAAAAAATTTAAATTAGGAAGTACAACATTTCAAGGCCATAATCTTAGGAACCTCTATGCTTTAAACAGAGAATGTCTGTAATGGAGTTCAAAATATTATGGCCATAAGGCTAAAATATAATGAACCCAGGGTTCAAAATATTATGTCCACAAGGCTATAATATATTGAACCCCGGGTTCAAAATATTATGGCCATAAGGCTATAATATATTGAACCCCGGGTTCAAAATATTATGGCCATAATATTTTTAACCCCGGGATCAATATTTTATAGGGGGGGTTCAATATTTCGCAGCGATATTTTGAACCAGGGTTCAAAATATTGCGGGGTTCAATATATTATATGACACCGGCACTTGTTGGCTGTACAAATGCACTCTCAAGCTTGTGAGTTTGTACAGCCAACTCGTGCCAATATTCACCAACACAAGTTCAATAAGCCTGTATTATGCAAAAAAACACTAGAAGATCTTTGTTTTTTTTTTTTTTTGTTTTGTTTTTTTTTTTTTTAAATATGAAATAGTACTTGATTTGTGGTACTTAAAGTTCTGTTGAATGACATGCACATGTAGTGAGTGAATTTAAGCCTGAAACTTTGGTTATAACATGGCATAATACACAGTTATACCAGGTATACATTTCACATATACAGCTGTAGCTCATCAGCATGCAACATTTTATATGTTAATGCATCATGCAGTGGCATGCACAAGAGACAAGACATAAGTTAATAATCAAGCCACTTCCTTGCTATTTGTGTTTTAACATCAAGGTTATCTGTGAGAATACATACTTAAATGTATTAAAAGTAATAGACCTGTTTTAATACTTCTATCTGTATGTATCTTACTATGTAAAAGAGTATAACCCAGTCTTCAATAATTTAGTAGCCTTCTAAACCCATTCAGAAATGCCAAGAAAGAATTTGGTAAATGTATTTTATACACATCAGTTTTTATGATATAAAAATATGAAATTAATCTTTATGATTGTATTAATATTACTTTAACACATTTTTATTGAGTTTAAATGATTAATAAGAAATGGCCTCAAGTTTAATAAGGCTGGAATTTTTTATTTTTAGGTTTACAAACCCGCCGCTCAAGTTTTTGAATTTTCAGAAAAAAAATAAAATTGAGAAAAATGGGATTTTTTCTTTCCGACGTCGAATTTGAGTCGGGATCGAGATTTCCGGTTTAAGATAAACATGGCGGGTAAATCAAGTAGATCACAGCATCATAGCTTGGTTTAGTGTAAAAATTATCGATAGGAGTGCCATTCAAAACGTTTCACCCGTTCAGACGACAAATAAAATGCTAACGACTTTGTTGCACAATGACATGTTGGTGAGCTAATTATTTAGCCGTATACAAAAGTATCTGCATATAAATTAATTTCCTTCCACAGTTAAAAACTGCCCATGGTAGCTATAGCCAGAGACATTGTTTAGGTCTCTGCTACAGCTTACAGTCTAAGCAACATTCTTCAGAAAAGGATCGCTTATGCATCAGATGTAATGAATAAAACTATGGGAGAATTTAAGTCCATTTGAGAGTGAAATAAGATTGACCTAAAGAAATGAAATATTTCAAATATTAAAGAAAACAAGTATATACAAATATATACAGGCATGCTGTATCGTTTTTGAATGTGGCAGCCTGAAAATTTTTTTATACACTTAATTGAAAAAATTTAACCCCCTCCCCAATACTCCCTGTCTGTTATATGATAGGAATTTTTACTTAAGGTCTGGAGTATATTTTAAGAACAATTAATTTCTACACAATCACTTGACACATATTTTTTAAAAAATGAAGATACAGTTTGTATATTGAAAGAGTTCAAAATTCTATTTTATTTTTTAATAAATTTGTATTTTGACCAACATCTCAAAATTTTTATCACTGTCCCCAGCTGGCAGACAATGAAATAAACAATTTTAGGTTCTACCTTCCTATTTGTAACAATTGTGTGGCCAGTGGCAAGGAGTCTTAGTAGAGCATCAAAAAAAAAAAAAAAAGAAGAAGCAAAAAAACTTTTCAACTTGGCCATGATGTTTCAGACATGTCAGGCGACATCTAACCACAGAATAACAATGCCTAACAAATACAGTTAGCTTTAAACATTTCAGCTGGTATCTAGGAACATAAGGCACAATGTCTAAATATGATCACCAATCATGTAAACTTGATTAAATAGCTTAATTAAATACCTCACTTATACTTTTAATAAGGAAATATATGGGGTGGGCATAATTTTTTGCTAATTTTGTGATCTGAATTACTTAATATACTATATCACATGATATCACTTATGATCAATCTGTTTTCCTTAGAAAAAAATAATCTCCAAGTTGAAGGTTAGAAAAAGAAATAGCAAAAATTACCCTTGCAAAATTATCCACATTAATTAACAGTAAATTTTCTATGATATAAATAAATATGATGACACATTTCCCCCTTCCTCAATCACATTTCTGGCCATCACTACAAGACCTTGATCAAGTGACATGACCTCTAAACAAGGTCATCACATACCTCATCTCATTGCTCAGTGACCTTGGAGACATGACCTTGATATTACTGTAGGATCCCTATTTTACTTTAGTACTTACTATTGCAAAATGACCTATAAATGCCAAATCATGAACATGAATTTGAAAGTAGGCTGTTGATCCAAGAGGGTTTTCATACATGTATATATCAGTCCTTCAAAAATATTTATAAAAGTGAGTTGTTTTATTTAGCAAATGGTGCTTCTAGCAATATTACTTGATTATAAAATTTATTACTCTCATATTTTTAGGAATCTACAGTACTGTATACATTTTGATCATTAGGAAAAATATACTCAAGTTTGAATTCATTCCAAAAAAATGCTCCAGGAAAGATGACTGATACATATTTTTGTAAAAGACACACTGTACCAAAACCAGTGCCAGGTATGTCTCCTTTTTGGGCAGACACATTAACATGACACCACCAGTGATTAAAAGTTTGATACAATATCTGTGGTTGATAAATTGATACATACAGTGTGTAATGAGGGATAATATCTTATTATATACCCAACTGTTTATCACTCAGTTTTACTGTTGAATTTACGCAATCACGAGACGATGTGATCCGACGTTCCGGATCACCACACTGTGGTTTTCTGAATCCATATCACCCCTCTCTGAAACTGATGACGTAGTACACAGATAAATAACGTTTTTATTCTCGCGCATCAAAAAGTTCCTTAACAAAATGGTTTGTTTAATGGATAAAAGTTATGTAATTGATCCAAAAAGTTTTTTTCTTTTATCATATTTTGCTAGTTGTTAAGGGGTATATAATAAATTTATCATTATAACGGTAACTTGATCCGAAGAGCCGTATCACGTCTCGTTGACAGGCGCAGATCATCACATCAAACTCGACGCTTCGCGTCTCGTTTGATCTGATGATCCGCGCCTGTCAACTTGACGTGATACGGCTCTTCGGATCAAGTTACTGTTATAATAATATATATATATGACCAATAAGCTTGACTTATTGACCTTACTTATAGGTGTGATAACTAATTAACATGACCAATGTTTTGAATGATCGTTTCCAACTGTTAAGATACCTAGCTTGATACATTTTAACCAGTACATAATGATTGTGTTTATATATAAATATAATGATCAGACATCATTACTTTCAGGAGAGGACTGAGATTTACTTAGGACTGTACTAAGTAACAATTATACCTTGTGTTGTATATATACTCTACCACAGTGTTTAGGTATCTACAAACAAAGACCCTACAGATTACAAATTTCACATATCAAAATGTTTAGCTCTATTTATGGTAATGGTGTTTTCTTTTAATACAATTCTATCTATGGACTAATTTCTATACTTATGATAATCAAAACATTTTCATACTTTAAATATATATATAATAAACCTGTTCTACAACAGTATTAGACAGGAGCTTTTTATTCACCAATCCACAGTACTTCATTACAGTGAAAATTGAAAACAATGCATTTCTTTTATCTTTGAAAATATATTCTGCCTATGTGTATTATTTCTACAAAGCAAGAATGTATGTGTACATGTAGACTGTAGCGAGTACATATAGAAAATTACACAGTATGTAGGTCTTGATTATAGTCAGACAGAACTAGATTATACATGTAAACTATGAGACACCTATCCACAGCAAAGAAGGTGCACTAAACACTAGAGAAACACCAGTGATTATAGTACATAAGTACTGGTGATATACGCCTACCTTCATCACTCGAGTGTCGGCGTCCTGAAAGTGGGCAGTAAATAAACATGCCACAATTAGCACGAGAAGAAGAAAGTGAACATCTAATATAAATAAAATCAGGTGAATCACGATGCAGACTAAACAGGGTGGCCACTAAGTGTCATAGCAGTGCAGCCAGATACTCAGAAAATTCAATTTCTTGTCTTTGATTTTTAAATATTTCAGAAATATCAAAAAGCATTCAGTTTTCTCCTTTTTTCTTCAAATTTTCAGTACTATATCTATGATGTTAGTTAATAGACTTTTTATAAAATGTAGGTTTTTTGTGGTAATAAAAAAAGGAAATTTTAAGGAATTAATGAATCACACAGTTATTTAATTATTGCTTGATCAAGGCCAAACTTGTAAGCATGGATCTGATGGTAAATAACACTGACCTTCACGTCTTCTCCTGGACCCTTTGGCAGAGGAAGGGCGGGCTAACTTGGTAGGACTCTCCTAACATATACATAGTTAAATTGTTAATTTTAAATAACTTATATGATTTTTATCTTTCTAATAAATGTATTACTAAACAGTTCTTACATGTTCATGTATTTGTTAACTCCCTAAAAGAATCTACTTAAATACAATGTACATGTACAATGAGAAAACAAGTGTGTGAAGTTTTTAATACACACAATATATTCATGACATACTGTACAATTAGGAAAGTATTTTTCTGTTTGTCACATAGAAAAACTTTAATATAAATCAGTACAACTGAGTTATGATTGGGCATGCTATACAGTTATACGATATACTAATGGAGCTCAACTCTTTGATGTTAATGATAAAATTTACTGGTAGTGAAAATTGTAAGGGTAAAGATTGAACTTTAATGTCAATGTCTCTAACATTCTTGTTTGCCCATTAATGTAGTTTTGTGATTATTCTACCGCTTTATTGTTTATTTTCTTTTTAATTGGTTTTCCTACCAAAAACCAATGATTCGTGTAATTGGATGCATCGCTATTTACCAGTAGAAATTAATCTGCAGCAACTATCAGTAAGGTCCCAACTCTTTCTTTTGTTAGAATTAACACAACATCTGGGTTCCGTAACAGAATCGACTGTAGGTATACTTGATGCAGTTTGATTTTTAGTTATTCATTGTGACCATTTTCAAAACAAATTCATATTCTACATGTATTTTCTTTTGTGGATGCATCGACTGACACGTTTGGATGCATAACGCCAGCTATGATCCTAGCATGGCTTTTAACCTTTGATTGATGCCATAAAAATCAGCTGAGTAAACAAGTACCTCTTTCTCTCCATTCATTTGTGAAGGGTCATTCTCTTTACTTTCTTCATCTTGGTGCTAAAAAAATAGAAAATTGATAATTAAAGATATGAGTTCATGTGATATTTCACCGAAATAGAATGTATGAAAATATTCTTTTATCAAAATGATACCCAAAATTAAGATTGTAGTTCAGCAAATGTTTAAATTTCCATTATAAATATAAACATTATATAAAATTTCTATCCTTTCTTCCAAATTATGTTGTTCCTTAAAATAATTGCACGTTTTCACATATCCTTTAAATTGCAAATATAAACAATATCATAATAAACAAATGTATACAAAACACAAACCTAAAAACATCCAAAGTAAAACTTATACCCAAAACAATAAAACACGGAATCAATTATGCGAAGAATCAAAGAACAACTGCATGAAAATCTGAAAACTCAAATTTGGTAACACATAAATTCCAAATAAATTAACTGGTGAACAATGACAAATGAAATCTTCAGAAATATCAACTGTTACATAATCTTTCTCCCTATCAAGCTCTTTTCTAGAAGTCCATCTCCTTCTATCAACCTCACGGCTATGCATAGCTCTTTCAGCCTTTTTCCAGTCTCTCTGAATGCTATACATGGAACCTTGCCTTTTCTTTTCTCTAATTTTTTTCTCCATATATCCCTGATCAAATGCAATTCTAGAGTGTTTCTTGGGGATGAATTTAGGTGACTCCTGTTCAGGACTCCCTCTTTTACTACTCTTTCTGTCTCTCAGTGAATCTTCTTTGGTAACATTTTTGCCTGTATGTTTTCCTTCTCTTCTACCCTTTGTGATGACTACACTCTGCTCTTGCTCTGATTTTTCTGTGCTCTGAAGAAGTTGGACTGCTGCACTCTCCTTAGGTTGTCTGTTGTATTGTTCTAAACCGTCTGCTTGTTTCTCCTGCACTACTGACCCCCCAACCTCATCCTTGACCCTAGTCTGGCTTGGGTCAAATCTTGTATTTTTCTCAACCTGTACCATTATTCCTGTTCTTTGACCTTTTATCTTTGAACCGAAATGAACCTGTTGGTCACCATTTACTATTTCAGCAGGTCTTCTTGCTGCTCTACTCTTTGTTCCACCTTGATGAGGATCTACTCCATCACTCTGTTGACGAACTGCCATGCGACTCTTTGTTCCTGTCATCCTATTCCTCTCAATGTTTACTTCACCAGCGATTGACTGTTCACTACTTGATGGTGTGCTCTGCTCACTTTCAGAGACAGCCATCCTTATTTCCTCCTTTGGGGGATAACTCTCAGATGCCTCCCTTAACTCTCTTTGTCTTGAAGCTCTAGGCCTTGCAGCCCCTGGTCTATTGAGTTTTGACAGATTAGCATTATTCTGTAATTCATAATTTAGTGGTGGAGATTCTGTGTCTTGTTCTGTAGCCTCATTTTGAGACAATCCATCAAACAGATCTATGTCTGAGGCAGTACTGGTATCAGAATCCAGTCTAGCGGCTCCTATGTTCTCCAAAGATTCATTCTGTGCCTGTTTTATCAGGACAGTTAATAGCATCATTGTAATAAAGTGACAGGTATTACTATACAATAAAAACTGACAGGATTTCCAATTTCTGTGAGCTTATGTTAGCTGTGTTAGTGTATAACCACCATTTTTTGTTTAATTAACCACATTACACCATAAATAATATCCATACAGAATATTACAGGCCTAAAGTCTTAAGATATAAGACAAAAAGACACAACTCATACAATGTTCTAATAAAATGTAATGCTACAACCTACACACATAACTCAAATAGTAATGAGGAGATAATTACATCAAAGTTTCCAAGTCTCCTGCTAAATACTAACATATTCCTTTCACAATATGCAGAGACCTACCATTTATATATTGGACTAAGAGCATGAACATGTACACTTAATATTTACGAGAGGGTAAACACTCATCTAAACAATGAGCAGTTCTAGAGAATACATACCTTCCTCCTTTCCTTTCTTTCTCTGTGTCTCTCCTCCCGATCTTTGTGTCTCTCCTCCTTCTCTCCGTCACGATCCTCTTTGTCCCTGTGTCGTCCCTCTTTGTCTCTATGGCGATCTTTCTTTTCTCTATGGCGATCTTCATCATCTCTATGGCGATCCTCCTTGTCTCTATGGCGATCTTCTCTATCTTTATGTCTTTCTTCTTTGTCTCTGTGTCGTTCCCTACTTTTTTCCCTACTTGCACTTTTATCTCTATCTTTTTTATCCTAATCAAAAAGAGAGATCCAAATTAAGCTTTCTTCATATAAAAGATGGACAGATGGAAGACGGACATGACAAACAAATTGTTATTTGCCCTGGCCATATAAACGGCAGGTGATAAAATGAGAAAAATATATTTCAGTGAAAAGGAGAATCCAATAAACCTCTGAGTCTCTTTTTTTGCGTTCCTCTCGACTACCCTCCTTTGACTTGTCCCTCTTTTCCTCCTTTGGTTCCCCTCCTCCTTTGTTCATTTTGGCCACATACTCATCATTATCAACCTTAAATCAAAAGTCATATTTCTCATTCCTTTCCATGACACATATGTCATTTTCTCCCAATTATAGTTAAAGAAAATTATGTTAATGACACCAGATTACCAGAATGTATAGCTTATGTTCAAAGAATAGTGATACAAATACAATTACTAAATGTACATGTAAATAATGTATATGATTAAACAGCCACTTAGAGGTTGCACTGTATTAAACAAAATACAACATGTTATCAAATGCATGTATTTCTGTTACTTTCATTATGTAAAGACATACATATAACCACATGATTGTATAAGAAATCATGCAACAGTATTTGGATAGCATTCCTAAGACATTACTGTCACAGTGTTTAACTAGGGCTGGGATGATATACATGTATCGAAATATTGATATCATAATATCGATTCTGTAAAAGGATGATACGCATATCAATACGTATGAAGAAATATTGAAATATCCCCCAAAATAATCTAACTTATGTTTTTCTTTGTTTATTTAACATTTTGGGTTTAATATATAGAATAAATCTGCTATATATGAATATAAATATGAAATACATAATAATTAACACCACATGTGTAAAATAATTTGTTTTACAACAGATATACTTCTTTGAATAAATTATTCTTATTTTTGAAGAAATGTTTTGTTCATTTCAATTCAAAAAAAAAAAAATTTCATAACCAAATAAACATTTTGTGATACATATTGTATCGTGGCTCAAATATTGTGATACGTATTAAAATAGAAAAATTTGTATCGTCCCAGCCCTATATTTTACACATTAAATTTACTGATGACAATTAAATGCCTTTTTATTGTATCTCATGACAGCACAAATAAATTCTCGGCAATAAACCAAATAATGGGATGAAGCCATCCTGGAAGCCAAATGATGTTTTCATATGTGTAAAAAAATAAAGCAGATACTAGTATAGACATAAACAGGTAAAAAGGAAAATAAATGATGGAACACTATAAAAGTTATTTTTCACACATGCAGAGAGAATGGATGTTCTTTCACTTCCTAAATATATACACGCATAGATAAGGTTTTGTTTCATTACTTTTAAAATCAATCTATGATTACCTTTTCATATATCTACATGTATGTCTGCAATTACACACACATTCTTGTTCACTTAATGTATAACTATAAAGTTATTAAAAATAAATTGTGAAATGTGAACATGTAAATCATAAAGAGCAAACCCCTTTATCTTGAACTTGATGGACCTACTGAGATTAACATACTTAGAGAAGAAGGCAGTAAGGACTTCCCACCTCACTTCAACATATCCATGGACTGGTATATCTAAATTTTCGATACAGAGGTCGGTTATACTATTACAATTGTATTATTATTGATACACTGACACTAACCCCTTTATTTATAGCAGCAGCTAAAGTCTGTAAAAACTCATTTGTTTTCTCTGGTTCATGACCTGCTACTATCTTTGCTGGCTTCACAGATAAGGACTTCCCTGCAACCATTGCTGAAATAAGAAGGAAAACTTGATCAACTTAAAGACATATAACTACATTTTGACTCCTATTTTCTCTCCAATTTATTTTTTATAGAAAACACATTTCACATTTTCTCTATATTAATGCACTGTGTTTGGTTTTTTTAAATTCTGAACCTCTATCCACTTCATTTTCATTTTTCTGTTCAAATGATATTACCACTCTAAATTTCTATACACAGTTGTTTCCCATATGTTATGTATACGAGTAAATAGTGAGACATGTGATTACAGAAATGGTACAAGCTTGCAATCTATGAATTTTTAGTAAAAATTAAACTTTTGTTTGTTATTTTAGAAATAAAGGGACATTCCCAATATTTTTCTTTTTTAGAAACATGGTAGTTTTTTTTTTCTTCACATTTTACATGACTGTATATCATATGATAATAATTATTTCTCTGGTACTTTGGTACATTTATACACACCTCATTACTTTTTAAAACATGAATATTACCATGATTACTGTTCAAAGCATCTTAAGTGAGTTACAACTGAACAGTTTATATTACATTTTCAAAAAAATTGAAATCATCTAATTGATGTTGACTTGCTACATCTTTATTGTCCAGTCAATTATAGCACTGCCATTGCCATTTGAAGAGTATGTGTATGTAATACTGTGGCAAACGTTAACAAAACAAAATCTCAATAGCACCAGCTTAACTTTTAAGATCTTCTTAAAACAAGGTTTAACTTACATGTAAAGTCTATAGCCTTCTGTAGGAAAGCAATTTTGCTGTCTTTATCCTGTAAAATAAAGAAAAACCATTTCACATGTTTCATGAAGAACAACACTAACTCTAGAAATTTAATTGTATACAGATATATTTATAAACCACAGGCCTTTAGATGGCTTTAATCTGACAAAATGGAGGTATTAATAAAGTAAATGTGTGGTCTTATCAGATTGGGTACCCAATTTTGTTTATGAACTTCTGATAAATCAAATGATTTAAAATCATATATTCATATCTATTCATATAATATGTTGACGGTGCGACCGTTCAGGCGAGCGCAGATACCCTTCAGTTTTAATTTAGATCGGGCTCTTCAAACCGCACTTGATATTTGGTACGTCTAGACTCTGACGTCACATGACGTCGTATGTAATGTTTTATTACCGAAATGAAGTCTGAACAGCGCTAATTTTAATAAATAACGTTAAAATCTACTATTTATCTGCTATATATATATACATTAAATTCAAGTTGAGTTTATTTCTTTTTGGAACTTCTGGGTATCGCGAGAACGTAGTTTGCCGCGAGATACAGTTCGCAAAGCATTATGGGACCACAGGTAACTGCGGAACAAAAATCGTTTGAATCAATGTGCAAAGTCCGAATTTTCTCTTCACCCAGGCGTTGCTTTAAGAGCTCACAGTGACGAGCGGCGCTTTGCACCGCTATGGTACAAAAATTTAAAAAAAATCAAACCATGTAAACTGACTTTTGATAAGTATTAATCATACTTTTTTCCATTAAATATAAGCCTTGAATAAAGAGAAAAAAGCATAAAATTATGACATCATTTCATGATATTGGACCATGATGAAAGGAAAAAATGCAATGAGCCAGAGTTCGAATCGTGGCCTAAGTTTATTCAAACCAAAGCCTTCTGATTTTAAAAATCAGGTGCTCTCCAACTGTCAAACCTACATCATTACCACAATAAATTACCATTCACTGAATTTTGTCTTTGACTCCAAATATTGCAAAATTATGAACCTGTAAACCTGTCGGGAGTCTTCTTGGTGGGTTTACTGACCTTTACATTTTCTGAATTCAACTCCTCTTCTTTGAAAAGTCCATTCATAAAACCTGTGGTTTTAATTACCTAAAATAAAACAATATTAATTAGAGAAGTTTTTTTTTTTTGAATCAGTTATAATGATGTATGTACATTACATTATGACCCCCCCCCCCCCCCCCTTTTGTCAGTGTTTGTTTTACAGAAGCAAATTAATGTTGACATAAACTTCACAATAATTTTCCAGATAAATATGTAAAACACAATAAGACAAGATTTCGTATGAAAGAACTGTACTCACCGAAGTCACTATATCATGTAAAAATCGGAACGGTGGTTTATTCAACAATTTTTCAGTGAGTGGTGGCTTCTTGATTATTTTCCCCAAAGTATCCTGAGTTTTCTTGACTATTCTTGCATCCATTGTGGAGGATATGTGTCAAAATTCCAATGCAAGTCTTTCTTAAGAGAAATTTATGGCAGTTTAATTGTTATCCGTCGGTTCCATTGATTTTAAAGCAGTCTCGCGTTTTCTTACTACGGAATTTTGTATCCCACAATTCATTGCAAATTCCCTACTTGCTGTTTTACACTTCCGGTTTTTAGTTGACAGTTGCTAATAGTAATTGGGGCTCCTGATGGGATAAAAATGTACAACAAAACAACAACCGAAGGATAAAATGTATTGTAATAATATAGTGATTATATTATTAGATGTCAACTTTGCACTTAAAATAAACCATTTTAATGTTGAACAATGAATACATTTATACCTCAGATTTGGGTAATGTGACAATCCACAACCATTTACGAAGAATGGCTAGTATTTAATTTGATTTATAATATAGGGTTACCTTGTTAGAAGGAGCTGTTGCTGAGATATTGTAGCTTTCCATTTTCATGTATTTTAATTTACAGAATATTGACTTTCATATTTAGCTTTTACGAGAATATTTAAGCCAGGTCGTCAAAAGGGGCGTACGTAGTGCGACCCCCCCCCCCCTTTTTTTAAGTCGAAAATTAAACCCCTTCTATAAAATAAATTCATCATCCATCTAGAGTGAAATGGGCCATAGATGAAAATCGTTAACATTCCACGCATATTCTGGGAAGACGAAATCAAAGATTAACCCTCTTCACTCACAGATGTTCTTTGTCAAAATTGGTTGAAATGTTCAGCTGTTCCAGAGAAGAAGCTGAAAATGTCCAAAAGTTATCGGACGACGCAAGAGAGACGCAAGTTGCACGACGACGGACGAAAAGAGATAGCAATAGGTAACCTGAGTGATCAGGTGACCTAAAAAAAATATTTTAAAAAATACAAATCTGTGAACAGCTAGGGCATAAAACACGGACCCCTGGAAATTCCAGAGGTAGGATCAGGTGCCTAGGAGGAGTAAGCATCCCCTATTGACCCGCCACACCCGCCGTGAGTCCTATGTACTGATCAGGTAGACGGAACATTCTTTAATCATATTCAGTGTTTCTGCTTCTGCCAAGTATTCTGCTTCTGCCAAGTATTGCCCACAATCAACAAGCTTATTATTATGGCAAATGTGGTGCGCATGATATGATCAAAATTAAAAACTTTAAAAGATTAAAAGATTAAAATGATATTTCTTATTTATGGCTGGAAGGCGATCACCTGAGACCTGAAGGTCTCAAGTGTATTCGCCGAGACTATTCCTGATGGTAGTTTATTCCACTCTTGGATGGTACGAGGGACATAGGAATACTTTTGATAATCGCTCTTACAAGATGGTATTTGGTAGGCTTTATGATGAGTATGTCGTGATCGACGTAATGATGGTGTAACAGGATGATAGTTACTTTTCAGTCCCGAATGTAACGAGATTCCGAATCATGATATAAATGAATACAAACACCTTTATTGAATTTAAATATAAAATTTATTGATAATAAGAATCAACAAAAACAAAAAAACAATAGAAAGGGAAGTGCAGTGGAAATTACCTGTAAACTTTGTAGATTATTGGAATTAATTTCAGGAATCAAATTTGGATGCCAAAATAGGTGAAATATACGCTGTAAATAAGTTTTCAAAGAAATTGTATGGAGTCAAGCTCCTGTAAAAATAATTATGACTATATTCAACTGCAAACAAAACCAGACTGCCGCAGACAACGTCGGGAACGCCCGGATCCTAGCGGAGGAGTAACTGTTGTCAAGGACAACCGCACTTCGCCCCCAGGAGCCAAGAACGATAACTCGTGTAAACGCTAGGTGTCTCCACTACACTCCCCCCTCCTTAAGATCTTATGTCAAAGACATAAGTCTAAGGTATATATTATGTAAGAGCACATTAACTACATGTTTTAACACTACGACATATTATAAAAAAATAATTTCATGTTCAAAACATTTCAACATGGAGACAGACAAATAACACCTTAAAATAAATAACAATATCACTCTCCGTCGCACTCTTATCTAAGACACACTTGAAAAAATGTTATGAATAGTTAACAGTAAAAACATGTGTTTTTACATTTAAAACATCAAGGATTACGTTCTGAAATCTTCAATTCAATAAATTACCATGAATAATCATGAAATACATTGACAACATACATGTAAAATTAATATTCAATACATGCTAAATGTGGGATATAATATCACACTGTATATATAAAGACACTTATTTATGTAATAAATAATGTATCACAAACATTGTGCATTTACATTAACTAAATGTACAGTCCATATGACAGTCCATGTACAAAATCACAGTCCATCACACACGCGAAATAACTTTGTACGCACTGTTCAAATATTAACAGTTAAAGGCACATCTGGAACGATGGAACACACAGTCAGTAAACACACATGGTATCCAAAAGTGCGCAAAATTAATGTCACGCGAGTGTCATCGCGATACACAGTCCTCTGACGATAGAAGCTGAAGGTAAGCTTCAAGTTCAAGTAGAATATATTATACTTCATGTCATAGCAAGTGTTGTTATGTGATTATGATATATAACATAAGATGACGTTATGAAATAATCTATACACAGATTAATAGAAATAACTTTCCATTTCAGAATAACAACAAACATGAATGGAAAAATATGAATATGAAAATGAATCAATGAAAAAATGACATGACAAGGGTAAGTAAGGATGATAATAACTGTACACATTTTATTCTTCTGTATAATCATTAAACGGAACTAACTCAACTCTCTTGTTCATCCTTTCACTCAAACTTGTGCTATCACGTTTAAAACAACTTAAAGTCCCATCAGGCCTCTCATACATCTCAAATCTCTCATCTCTAGAAAAATACAATCTCTCTCGCTCACTCTCATTCCTCTTAAAACCAGCCAACTCAAACTTCAATCGCCTATTCTCCTTCTCAACCTCACGCCTCAACTCTCTCTCCTTCTGAATCTCACTACTCTCGCTCAACCTCTTTCTCGCCATCTCACGCATTCTCTCTAACCTCTCTATCTCTCCGCTAATACAAGAAACAAAACACTCTAAGTTCTCTCTACTTTCAGGCAATGATGAAAATGATAGAATGTCCGTCTGACAGGAAGCTGTAGATGTAGATACGGACTGCGCGGATGATAAGGTAGATGCAGATGAAATGGATGATGAAGCTGATACCAAAGATAACGGCAAGGACACAGATGACAGGGTTGGCTCAGGTGCAGATGATGAAGTGGCAGACTGCACGGGTGGCTCGGAGGCAGATGTTGAAGATGTGGACTGCACAGGTGGCATCACAGATGGCTGGGATCCTGGGTCCCGCAGGGAGGCCACAAACTTGTAACTCCCAGGATCCACAAAGCTCTTATTTGGTAGGATGGTAGGTTGGCATTGGATCAGGAAGTTCTCCAGGGCAGCACCTTGCAATCTATGGATGGACCTCAGGTGGAACTTTATATCAGTACGTCTCTTACAGGAAGAGGAACACCCTGGGATGGAGCAGCTATATGTGCAGGTGGTGGTCTTGTGTTTCGCATCCCAGTGGCGTGCATAAGACTTCCTCATGAAAAAAATGGTGGAACCACAGGACAGAACAGGACAGGTCATCCCCTGGGTATAAGTAAAGGGACAAATAGAGTTGTCAAGGAGGTCATCCGTAAACTGCAGGAGGTCGTCATCTCCAATCAAAATGTCCAAGACATCAGTGTCCATTACTGTAAATTAATGAATTTAGTTATAAATAACTTGCAAATAAATTGCCATAAAAATCACAGGTTTCAGTATTACTCTACACAATGTAACATACTCAAAATACTAGACAGCGTCAAAGGAATCTGTATACCACATAGATAAATATGTCACAATGACATTATTAACCTTGACCTCAAGGATACACCTTGATAAATTTCTTTTTATGAAATCAAGCAAAACTTCATGTCATACTACTCGGTATACAATAACCGACCATAGTATAAACATTTCCATATAGGTCTATACTAAAGTGTGTACTAATATAACCTAATGCATGGTTGCAATAACCTTCCACTTATATACATATATCTGAAAGCATGTGAGTACAATATCAATAACTTTCCAGAAATGTATTTCTATACATATGATGTGCATGTATCTGCTCATGTCAAAAGACAAGGTTTCATATCATAAAGTATATATATGGTATAAACTGTAATGATACTTAGTACTGTCATGATCGACTTTGGTTACAATAACCATGTATGTTACTGAATAGTATGAAAAGGTGTACATAGTAATGACTGAAACTGCACGGATTATGCTTTGTATGCTTGCTGCTTTTTATACTGAATGTTTGGTAGAACTATAATCATTTTTATTATTACCGTGAGAACTACAACATGGTGTGGCGATGACTGATGATAATGATTATGTATGTATACATGATGGTTGAAATTGAATTGTATGATAGCCAACAAAGTTATGGTGAATATTTGAGTGGAGCTTTGATTACTCTCCCATATCGAGTGTGTTGAGGAGATTCCTCAATCATGTCTTGATTATAGCTTAATTCTTCAGAATCTACACTGTCCTCTGTGTATGCATCTAATGAAGGTGTGTTAGGGTGCATAACTGGCATTTCTTCTGATATGTATGGCTTTAGATGGTCAACATGAACCACTAATACTGCCCCTGTTTGACAACATTGTATTTTGTATGTAATGTTACTTATTTTCTTAATAATCTGGTATGGACCGCGCCAACCTAGGCCTAATTTTTGTTTTGCCCAAGGTGGATACCATCTCCATACGAAATCACCATTTTTGTATGCCCTTTGTTTAAGGTTTTCATCGTAATATTTTTTCTGACGTTTAAAGCTTGCATCTAATTGCTCACCAGCATGTTGAAATGCTGAAGACAAGGCTTCTTGTACAAATTCAACATATTCAATCTCACAGGCAATTTCATCGTAATTTGGTGGATTACCCGCTATAATGTCAATGGGAAAGTTTATTTCTCTTCCTAACATAAGTAAATTGGGTGAACATTTAGTACTTTCATGAATGGCTGCGCGATAAGCCATCATTACATAGGGTATGTGGTCATCCCAGTCGTTTCTATGTTTATTCACGAATAAGGCCAGC